TAGCCTGTAACTTTCTGCTCAAGAAAACCAGCCATTACCTCAATCAAAACATCCTATGAAGAAGGGTCTTTTATTATGGAAGCAATTCCACCATTTGTGACATCATTGAAAAGTCATATATGAGATGGATTTATAGCTAAAGAGTTGTAGGCACAGCTTTCCTATTCTGGGCATAGAGCAAGAGAGACTCTTCACTGCACTGAAGACATGCAGGGAACATTTACACCTTGGCTAACTATTTTGAGGACATAGCGCTATACATCAATTTTTCAAGCAGAGGCTTTGGATATTACATCAACAACTTTTGCCTGATTCAAGGTGCAAACTAAAGAAAGAGGAAGTGTTCTCTGTAAAAAGTAAATGTTTCAGTACTGCAGCTTGGACTACAACTTGAACTACATATTTTCCTGTTTCTTTCACATTTATACCCCTCTCCCCTTCTGTTTCTTCAGTCATTTTGGAAAATGTGGCAAGAAAAAGAAACACCGGGACACCAGCTCTTATATTTGACCTCTGAAGGACAGCACTGAGCAAAGAACTGTGTTCTCATATCCGGAATTTGTTCTCCCCCTGCCACCACTTCAAAATCTGCTGCAGAATATGGATTGAACTTCACATTATTCTTCTAAGCATAAGGACATTTAAAACAAGTAGTGTATTTTTCTATGAATATGGAATAAATACTTTTTTTTCTGAGTACGCTATTTACAAGAAGAGACCACTTTGTGGTTGTTGGGAGAGAACAAGACAACTGTAAAAAGATGCACTATCCAGCTCAGTGAGCTTCTATTTATTTCTTTATCTAATGGGGCCATTTGTTTATTTCTTTTGTTAGGATACACATTTGGATGGGGAGGATTTGAAATGGTACTGCTAGTTTAAGATTTAGACGACTTTGAGGAGGAGAGGATGAGTACTTCAACCCGTTCTCAATTGCTCCTGAAGAATCTGGACAAATAGAAGATATGATGGCTCAGGAAGGAGGGCAGTGATCAGGGTGGCTCTTTCTCTGGTTGGGAGGTATGGGAATCAGCAGTGTGCATCAGGAGAATGTCTCTCTGGTCTGATAGTCATCCACATGGACCCTTTGCAACAAAAGCCCTGCCTCTCTCCTTGTTCAAGGGCTTTCTGAAATGTGGCAGCAGTCCTCTTCCTCACCTTTCCATGGCTTTATGTAAGGGTCAGACCCCGCACAGGGCACTAGCTCTACAGGTCAGATTGTCCTGCTGCTCATTAGTGCCTTCCCCCAGACCCAACTGGGGTACATGACATTCTGTTGTCCTGTCCCCTGGCCAGTGACCGCCATATGTCTGAGGGAAGGGCTTCTGCCTTCTCTCCCCTGTTGGATGCTTTTCCAAACTCCTATTTCAAGAACATGCTCATTTTATCCTTTCCAAATCATGCTTTCTGCCCATCCCTACTAACCAAATTCCTTCACCCTCACTGCTGCCAAGGTAACCTGCAATTTCTGTATTCTGTTCATTATTATTATTTATCATCTTTCTGTCTTGGAGATTAATTATTTGGGTTGTTGACAAGGATGTCTTGGGAACATGGGCAAGGATGAGACAGGAGCTTTGGTTAAAGAAGGAAGTGTTAGCTGATCCCAGCTGTTTGAAGCTGACACAGAGCAGACCAGCTTGACTCTCTGGCTCTGCAAGCAGATACCAGGGATAGACTGCCTTCCCTTTCTGCTGTATGACCTTCATCAAGCATTAGGTCCTGGCCACTGACTGGTAAACAATACACCCCTTACAGGGAAGGACTTGAAAAGATATGTTGTTCAAAAGGTATCCTGTTACCAACAGAGAAATAAACAAACAAAAGAAAGTCAATGAGGTCTTGTAAAGGGCCTTGTAAGCTCAGAAAATAACATATTTGGCATAAACAAATATGGGACTGAGTTTTGAAGGTTCATACCACAAATAAGTAGCACTACATTACAGTTGGTGAAACTGAATGATTACTGCTCCAGTCTCACCATCCTAAGAACATATATAGGCAGGTGCCTGCACAGGAGGATTTCCTGTGGTGAGGAATATACTGTGCCTTTCAACAATTCCAAACTCTCCCTGCCTTTTCCCAGCAACTGCCCTTATCACCAGCTTTGCTGGAGGAAAATAGGACCTTTAATACTAATCTCAGGCTAATGTTTGCATACTTTAGGCAGTTAGTGATAAAGGCCTGTCTTTCAAGGCTGTTTCTAACTTCCTCTGAGGCACAGTAAAGGTCAATGGGATGCTTAGCAGAAGTCAGTAAAGACTGAAAGATATGAAACTAAACAAGCATCTCACAATATATCTGGCTAATCTAGAAGACAACCCAAAACTAGAGCTACTGCTACAGGGAAAAAACTTCTACACCACAGTCTTCTGTAGATAGCTGAAGACAATGTCCCAAGGCTGACTGGCAGAGACCGGTGTTGAACTGGAAGCTGCGGGCTTGCCCTGGCCGGGTGCTGTGTCTCAGTGCAGGGTGGAGGGTGCAGGCACCTGTGTGCAGAACTCAGCCTTGCCTTCCCTGCACCCAGCCAGCCCACACCGCAAGCATGACCCTCAGAGAGTCAGGGGGAAGCAATCAGATGTGATGCATTTATTTGCTAAAAATTCATTTTGTAAAGGACAGCAGAAAAAAGCCTCTCTATATGTTTTGACTGCTAAAATGATAGTAGGTAGTGGCTTCCGGTGAACCTTGTATTTGGTAATTGCTCCTGTGCTAACTCTTATCCCTAACAGAGGAATTTTGTAAGTCAAAAAATCCCCCATCTCTATGAGCCTTTGTGTTGGGTTTAAGCTGTTGTGGGTGAGAGAGGACAGATGAGGTGGTGGAAGCCGAGGGAGAGCTTCTGCATGGAGGAACCCCAGGGGAAACCAGCTGCACAGAGGTGCATGCACCAGGTTATGCAGACCACTGTACAGGATGTTGGTTTAAAAAAAAAAGTTATTCTAAATTTGTATGTGCCTCAAACCACTTTATGCATATGGGAAAGTCCTACAAACTTCTCAGGAGGCACATCAGTATTCTTCTGAGCTGCGCGGGTTGACACTAAAATGACTGTTGTGACCCTGCTAACCCAGTGGGAGGCACCTCTTTCAAGTAGGGACCAAACACTGTCAGCTACAGTTATCTTGCATTAGAGGCTCAGTGAGAGATGTGGGGTACACAGGAGACAAAGGATCACCTTGCCATCTCCAGAGGCACATGAACAACCTGACCACAGAAACCCAGGAGCTATGTTCTTGCTGCTACCAAAGAGGTTCCTTGGACCAACAAAAAGGTGAATGTGCTATTTGGCTCAAATGTGCTGCTGCCACCAAATGTGCTGGGTTACTTCGTCTAGTTTGTGCAAGTGGTTACTGGTAAGTGGCAATTTTTATTGCTGCTGACACTCTCGCAGAAGGAAAGGCTATGAAATGGCACTTCTGTAGCCACTCAGGCATGTCCAGGCATTTCTAGATAGTTTGGGAAGGACAGCAAGGCCACTGGTTTCTCTGTCTACAAGGTAGAGAATTAACAAGGTATTAACCATACCTTCATGAGTTCACTACTGAGAGCTTAACAAATCAAAGACCAAGCTGCAACACAGAATTTCTGTTGTCAGGAAAGTATTGTACAGATTTCTTGGCTAGCTTAGTGATCAAAGTGAATATATATGGAAAATATACAGGAGGATATTTGTGCTCAGCGAACACTGCTGACCAGATAGGTGAGTGCAGTGTGCTTTATCAGAGCTGTTCCCACTCAGGAAGGCAATGCCCTGAGAAGATTGCATCTCCCAGAGTCAGACTCCAGATGTAGAGCAGATTTCAGATGTAAAAGCTTCAAAAATCATCCTACCACCAACTATGCTTTATAGTTCTCATCTTCCTTTAAGGCTATGGGGAGAAAAAGAAAAAAAAAAGAAAAAAAAAAAGAGGATGCTCTTGGGATGCAACCCATCTCTTTTGTATGTACATACCTACGAAAAATTAAGACAATTTAAAAATGACACATAGCTTGGCATGCCTGGTAGTGGACCTCCGCACTGCAGAAAATGGACAAGACAAATCCCACCCCAGGAAGTAACTGTGTTACTCGAGTACACTCAGCACACCCTGGGGATGCAGAAAGGACCCCATGCAGAGCCAGGAGTCCCCACATGCCTGTAGAGTGCTCCCTAGCTGATATGCAAGGGGTGCAGGATGAGAGCAGGGGTTCATAGCTAGCAAGTGTTTGACTTTGGCAAGTATGAGTCGAGCTTTCCCTAGAAAGCATTTCTAAAGGTTTAAGCTTTCATTTCTTGTATCCACAGACTTGCGTACGTGATTTTCTTTTAGAGAAGAAAAATGTACATCTAACAGTTATGTAGTCAGATAAAGTTATACAGTGAAATAAATGGGTACTATGGACAACACAATTTTATAGAATGTTAAATGCATTGTCATTACTTGCAGTATGGATTGTCAGCTATTTCTCTGACTTTACTATGGACTAACTTTAGGACGAGGCTATTTTTTATTCACTGCTTTATGTCTTTGATGCAACATTTGTATTTTTGCTGACACATAGATGTCCATGTCAATAAAAAATATGAAAATACAAACCAAATGTGTTTGCTTCTTTTCTTTTTTTTTTTCCATCCTATATATTTGATGCTATAAAATGTATTTAATAAAACTTCATATGAGTATAAGACATGTACTGTGAGATTCTTCTTTGGGCTGTAGCGTCAAACTGGTAAGAGGCTCAGACAATTCACATAAAATAAAAATTCTCCTCCTTTCTTTGTTTGTTGGAAGCACAACATCTTGGGAAATTATGACCTTAGAAGAAAACATCATTGTAGAACTTGATATAAAATTAAAATCCATGTGTCCAGTTACAGTTAAGATCATGATTTTTGACATGTAATCCAGAGGTGGGTAAGTCTCTTGCCAAACACAGCAGACCATAGAGCATATAGAAAGAGGGTAACACACTGTCAGTTGGATTTCTTGGCAATAACTATTAATTTATGGCAATTTAAAATGGATGATCATATTTATTTTACTTTCTTATGAATGATTGTAGCTTTACTATTGCACTTGGAATCTTGTATTTCTGATGTGCGTCCTTCTTCCCAGGAGGGGGCAGTCCATAGCCAGGATCAGTTGCTTTCCATTACACTTTTAATCCAAGGAATATAGTTGGAAACTCGAACATAAACACCAGGTTTCATGGGTTGGGCACAGCCAAGGCCCCAAGAGGTGACTCCATGTTGAACAAATTTATCTTGGTCCAGACAGACTAGAGGTCCTCCACTGTCCCCCTAAACAGAGAAAGAATAGGATGATTCCTTCAGTGACAGACCCATGTGCAAGGGTGGCCTTCTCACAGGAGGCACAGAAACAGAAGTACCTCTTACATGTGAGGGCCGCACAAGTTATAAGGAAACACTGGAGTTCTAGCCAGACACAAGTTCTCTATGCATGTTGTTGAACACTTCTGTAAAATCATCTCTTCACATCATCCAGGCATTACATCTATTTTTGGAGTAAGGGGATTTGCTGAAAAGGCATCTGATTGACCTTATTCACTTAAACTGCACCTCCTCTCTCCGTCTTTTTTCTGAAATCTTCAGGGCTTCCTCTTGTTACCAAATGATCCAGTGGTACTGACACTCGGAAATTAGTAGTTCCTTTGGCTCATGTTTGGCCTGCATGGCAGGCTCCACTGCATTTTTCCTTTACTGCTAACTGAGATAGCTCAGGTTGTTAACTGAGCTAGCTTGGACACTGGAGGCAGTCTAGTGAGGCAAGCAAAGTGATCTGAGAAAAAAAATCAGACCATTTGTCAATCCAAGTTGGCTCATATACACCTGGCTTGTGCAGCTGTATGTAACCATGTGCTCTGTAGTTCAGGCTTATCTGAAAATTGCCTGCCCCGCTTCCTGGCAGCAAACAAGGGAGAAAGGAAAGAGCAGCATCCATGTGCTTTTTTCAGCTTAGATGCCATGTTGCGTGGTCACATCCCAAGGATAATTCTGGGCCTGGCCTCTATAGCCCGGAAAGCAAAGCACTATTTTATTTGAATGTGCTTACAACTAAACCACAGAATCACAAAATATTCTCAGTTGGAAGGGACTCACAAGGATCATCGAGTCCAGTTCTTAAGTGAATGGCCCATACAGGGATCAAACCGCACAACCTTGGCACTATGAGCACCATGCTCCAACCAACTGAGCTAGTCTCAGTGTCTCTGATGCTTACAGACTTTCTTACCTGACAGGTGTCTGTGCCACCATGAATATTCCCAGCACAGAGCTCACTGTTTTTGACTCTACCATTCAAAAATTCAGGGCGGTTGCATATTTTATTCTCAATTACAGGAAATCCAGTTTCCTTTAAGTAACCAGTACCACCAGTTCCTTTGCAAATGAAAACAAAACCAAAAAAGAATGAATGACAAAGGCAATTATCATATTCACAAAACAAACATCAGGATATGGATAAGCAGTAAAATATCATAGTGTTTATGCACTGTGCATAGTACTTCCCATGCATAATATGAAGATATACCAAAAAGAGTAAGCATTATCGGTATTATGGTACTTATCACCCTCTACCACCCATCAACATCTACACTGCACTGATTGACCTTCCTGCTTTCACACTACATCCGTGTGGATCCAGTACCCACTGAAATTTGTGGGAGTCATTCCCAAGCCATTTTATTTCTCTATATTTGAGTTTTCTGTGGAAGAGATGTGTTAGGAAGTAAACAGTTCAAAATGGCATGATGGGCAAGGAGGCAGAGAAGGTACTGATGCACTTCTCAACCAAGACACAGTGGGAGGTTTTGAAAATGAGGGTTGTATTTGTTTGAGATGTGAACCAGGCTGGCTGGGAGGAAAAAGCATTTAAGAGAATGAGCAAACTCACATTTATGTGATCAAGAAATAACCTAAATGTGGAAAAACTATCCTTGATAGGATAAAAGCCCACTTTGAGGAAAAGCATAGTGGACTGAGAGAGACTTAGTGGTTCCTTAGGTCTCGTACTCCTCTTTCAGTGTTGGTTTAGAGGGTTTCAGTTTATTGAGTGGTTTAGGAGAATCCATATCAGCAGGAGAGAGTGGAAAGAATGGCAGTACCTAATGAATTTTGATGAAATAAGTTTTTCATCGATAGCTTGTGTGGGGCACAAAGAGAATACACTTTGAATTCAAGTATATACCAGTCTCCAAACACTGAGCTTTTAGATGTGTTAAGGCTGTCTCACCTCTTGTATCCCCCCAGCCCGTGACATAGCACTCCTCTCTTCCTCCTAACACAGTATTTTCTTTTGGTAAACAAACCGGGATTACATGATCATTAATGACTGCTGGGCTGTAAGAAACAGGAATAATCATTAGCACAATTATACTTGATACCACCTTCAGGTTTCTAAAAAGACTTGATATGCATTCAGCCACCTATCTTTGACATTCTTTGCTTCAGGTAAGGGTTTTTCCTGATGTGCAAAACTGTTTTTGTTTTAGGCTCAAATCCCTCAGAAAGCGATAAACACAAGGAAAAGGTCTGAAATTGAGAACAGTTAGAGTATTTTGATACTAAAAAGTACCTACATAAATCCAGGAGAGTGCTTTGACTTAGACTAATGCATAGCCAGCAAAACCTAATTGCAAAGCTATTAGAAAGGGTATGAATTAGTGGCATTTAACACATGCTAAATGGGTTAGCTTGCTCTGCCTACATCCAATCTGACTATAATTCACTTTCCAACGGGACATTTAGCACACAGCAAAACCTAAGTTCTTCTGACTTGCCTTTGAGTGGGTACAGCTAAGGCCCATTTACAAACCCACATTATTACGCTGAACCTTCATCTGTTTTGGACCTGCACTGCAGCCGAACAAATCAAAGCCAAACCACATGTTCACATCTGCTTGCTGCTCTATGGACATACTCCTTTTGATTGCACAGTTCCACAGAAAGCATTTCTGATGAGTGAAAAGAGATGCAAGAAGGGCCATACTGGGTATTGCATCAAATGTACACACTCTTTGCCTGCACACTGTCCAGATCTGGTGGAAGAGGAAATCTCCCTACCACAGCACAGAAATGGTATGGAGTGCCTTCGTGCTAATATTGCATGTTCCAATCCTCATTACCTTATCAAGAAGCATATAGAAACACTGAAAGCTCCTCTAGGCACTATCTCCTCCTTTTCTGCTGCCACTATCTCCCTCCCAGCAGCTGGCACCCAGCACATTGCCACCTTGGGTCAGTGTCCCTAAGCCCTCCTCCCCTAACAAGGCATCCCTCTCACTTTCTGAAGCCCTGGCGCTTCTGCAGAAAGGCAAGAAAGAGAGGATCTTAAATCACTAATTGAACAGAGTGTGCAGAAATGCCGCACATTACTGCAACAGCAGCAGAAACCACTTTTTAGTCAACTTGTCCCATCAGAACAAAGGAATGCTTAAGGTGAAAGGGTACCTGCTGAGTTTTAGCAGAGCAATGTCTGCCCTGCGTGGCTCCTTGAACAATTTCTCCACATCAAGTTTTTGTACTGATGGCTCTAACGCTGCTTCTTTGTGTAATCCAAGGTATACTCTATATGAAGATGGCCGTGAGGACCTATTGGAAATGATTGCACATGGTGAGCTGATGAACACACACCCAGAACATAAACGACTTATGNGGAGTAATTCTATGAAAAAAAATTATTTTCAACGAGGACATGGGAGTCTGTGGCTAAACCAGACTTCTAGCAGACAGATGTGTTGGGGAAAAATCAAAATCAATAGAATAGACTAAGAAGGGAAATTGGTGCTAATGACAACTTTAGCTGAAAACAAAATTGGAAAGACAGAATTTTGACTTCTATGATCTTCCTTTAGGGGAAATCAGTCTGCAAATGAACTTCTAGCCCTCAAGTGATTTTGTAGTGGGTTAAATTAATGTAGCATGAAGGTGTTTGACTAGAATAGGTTAATCAGAAATGAATTCACTTGAAAGATCTTACTTCAAACTTAATCTGAATAAACTTTTCTCAGTAGACAAGCTCTGAAAATAAAAAAAGTAAAAATTTTCTTATTGCTTTTGTATTTCTTCAATGTCCATTGTAGGTATTCTCGCAGTTGTCTGTGGGCTCCTAGTATTGCTTTTACCAGAGACAAAAGGAATCTCATTACCCGAGACAGTGGAGGATGTGGAGCAGCTTTCAAGGTATGAGATGTATTTTCTTACTTTTACTTGGGTGAGGTTTCCTGAGGATGTTCTCCTCCAACTTTACCAACTGTCACAAATTATTGAGGTTTTCCAAACGTCAAAGTAAATTCCCTAGTTAGGTTGATGTTATGAGTGAGTGGCATTTTCCTCAATAGAAACCTGAACTTTTCAGTACCACTTAGGAAGGCTGTAAAAAAATGCATGGGGATAAAATCTGTCTTTTTCTCATAGAGACACAAAGTTGTCCTATGCATCTCTGGAAGCAGAAAGTGATAGTGTGCAAGAGGGATATTGCGAAGCATAGCCTGTAACTTTCTGCTCAAGAAAACCAGCCATTACCTCAATCAAAACATCCTATGAAGAAGGGTCTTTTATTATGGAAGCAATTCCACCATTTGTGACATCATTGAAAAGTCATATATGAGATGGATTTATAGCTAAAGAGTTGTAGGCACAGCTTTCCTATTCTGGGCATAGAGCAAGAGAGACTCTTCACTGCACTGAAGACATGCAGGGAACATTTACACCTTGGCTAACTATTTTGAGGACATAGCGCTATACATCAATTTTTCAAGCAGAGGCTTTGGATATTACATCAACAACTTTTGCCTGATTCAAGGTGCAAACTAAAGAAAGAGGAAGTGTTCTCTGTAAAAAGTAAATGTTTCAGTACTGCAGCTTGGACTACAACTTGAACTACATATTTTCCTGTTTCTTTCACATTTATACCCCTCTCCCCTTCTGTTTCTTCAGTCATTTTGGAAAATGTGGCAAGAAAAAGAAACACCGGGACACCAGCTCTTATATTTGACCTCTGAAGGACAGCACTGAGCAAAGAACTGTGTTCTCATATCCGGAATTTGTTCTCCACCTGCCACCACTTCAAAATCTGCTGCAGAATATGGATTGAACTTCACATTATTCTTCTAAGCATAAGGACATTTAAAACAAGTAGTGTATTTTTCTATGAATATGGAATAAATACTTTTTTTTCTGAGTACGCTATTTACAAGAAGAGACCACTTTGTGGTTGTTGGGAGAGAACAAGACAACTGTAAAAAGATGCACTATCCAGCTCAGTGAGCTTCTATTTATTTCTTTATCTAATGGGGCCATTTGTTTATTTCTTTTGTTAGGATACACATTTGGATGGGGAGGATTTGAAATGGTACTGCTAGTTTAAGATTTAGACGACTTTGAGGAGGAGAGGATGAGTACTTCAACCCGTTCTCAATTGCTCCTGAAGAATCTGGACAAATAGAAGATATGATGGCTCAGGAAGGAGGGCAGTGATCAGGGTGGCTCTTTCTCTGGTTGGGAGGTATGGGAATCAGCAGTGTGCATCAGGAGAATGTCTCTCTGGTCTGATAGTCATCCACATGGACCCTTTGCAACAAAAGCCCTGCCTCTCTCCTTGTTCAAGGGCTTTCTGAAATGTGGCAGCAGTCCTCTTCCTCACCTTTCCATGGCTTTATGTAAGGGTCAGACCCCGCACAGGGCACTAGCTCTACAGGTCAGATTGTCCTGCTGCTCATTAGTGCCTTCCCCCAGACCCAACTGGGGTACATGACATTCTGTTGTCCTGTCCCCTGGCCAGTGACCGCCATATGTCTGAGGGAAGGGCTTCTGCCTTCTCTCCCCTGTTGGATGCTTTTCCAAACTCCTATTTCAAGAACATGCTCATTTTATCCTTTCCAAATCATGCTTTCTGCCCATCCCTACTAACCAAATTCCTTCACCCTCACTGCTGCCAAGGTAACCTGCAATTTCTGTATTCTGTTCATTATTATTATTTATCATCTTTCTGTCTTGGAGATTAATTATTTGGGTTGTTGACAAGGATGTCTTGGGAACATGGGCAAGGATGAGACAGGAGCTTTGGTTAAAGAAGGAAGTGTTAGCTGATCCCAGCTGTTTGAAGCTGACACAGAGCAGACCAGCTTGACTCTCTGGCTCTGCAAGCAGATACCAGGGATAGACTGCCTTCCCTTTCTGCTGTATGACCTTCATCAAGCATTAGGTCCTGGCCACTGACTGGTAAACAATACACCCCTTACAGGGAAGGACTTGAAAAGATATGTTGTTCAAAAGGTATCCTGTTACCAACAGAGAAATAAACAAACAAAAGAAAGTCAATGAGGTCTTGTAAAGGGCCTTGTAAGCTCAGAAAATAACATATTTGGCATAAACAAATATGGGACTGAGTTTTGAAGGTTCATACCACAAATAAGTAGCACTACATTACAGTTGGTGAAACTGAATGATTACTGCTCCAGTCTCACCATCCTAAGAACATATATAGGCAGGTGCCTGCACAGGAGGATTTCCTGTGGTGAGGAATATACTGTGCCTTTCAACAATTCCAAACTCTCCCTGCCTTTTCCCAGCAACTGCCCTTATCACCAGCTTTGCTGGAGGAAAATAGGACCTTTAATACTAATCTCAGGCTAATGTTTGCATACTTTAGGCAGTTAGTGATAAAGGCCTGTCTTTCAAGGCTGTTTCTAACTTCCTCTGAGGCACAGTAAAGGTCAATGGGATGCTTAGCAGAAGTCAGTAAAGACTGAAAGATATGAAACTAAACAAGCATCTCACAATATATCTGGCTAATCTAGAAGACAACCCAAAACTAGAGCTACTGCTACAGGGAAAAAACTTCTACACCACAGTCTTCTGTAGATAGCTGAAGACAATGTCCCAAGGCTGACTGGCAGAGACCGGTGTTGAACTGGAAGCTGCGGGCTTGCCCTGGCCGGGTGCTGTGTCTCAGTGCAGGGTGGAGGGTGCAGGCACCTGTGTGCAGAACTCAGCCTTGCCTTCCCTGCACCCAGCCAGCCCACACCGCAAGCATGACCCTCAGAGAGTCAGGGGGAAGCAATCAGATGTGATGCATTTATTTGCTAAAAATTCATTTTGTAAAGGACAGCAGAAAAAAGCCTCTCTATATGTTTTGACTGCTAAAATGATAGTAGGTAGTGGCTTCCGGTGAACCTTGTATTTGGTAATTGCTCCTGTGCTAACTCTTATCCCTAACAGAGGAATTTTGTAAGTCAAAAAATCCCCCATCTCTATGAGCCTTTGTGTTGGGTTTAAGCTGTTGTGGGTGAGAGAGGACAGATGAGGTGGTGGAAGCCGAGGGAGAGCTTCTGCATGGAGGAACCCCAGGGGAAACCAGCTGCACAGAGGTGCATGCACCAGGTTATGCAGACCACTGTACAGGATGTTGGTTTAAAAAAAAAAGTTATTCTAAATTTGTATGTGCCTCAAACCACTTTATGCATATGGGAAAGTCCTACAAACTTCTCAGGAGGCACATCAGTATTCTTCTGAGCTGCGCGGGTTGACACTAAAATGACTGTTGTGACCCTGCTAACCCAGTGGGAGGCACCTCTTTCAAGTAGGGACCAAACACTGTCAGCTACAGTTATCTTGCATTAGAGGCTCAGTGAGAGATGTGGGGTACACAGGAGACAAAGGATCACCTTGCCATCTCCAGAGGCACATGAACAACCTGACCACAGAAACCCAGGAGCTATGTTCTTGCTGCTACCAAAGAGGTTCCTTGGACCAACAAAAAGGTGAATGTGCTATTTGGCTCAAATGTGCTGCTGCCACCAAATGTGCTGGGTTACTTCGTCTAGTTTGTGCAAGTGGTTACTGGTAAGTGGCAATTTTTATTGCTGCTGACACTCTCGCAGAAGGAAAGGCTATGAAATGGCACTTCTGTAGCCACTCAGGCATGTCCAGGCATTTCTAGATAGTTTGGGAAGGACAGCAAGGCCACTGGTTTCTCTGTCTACAAGGTAGAGAATTAACAAGGTATTAACCATACCTTCATGAGTTCACTACTGAGAGCTTAACAAATCAAAGACCAAGCTGCAACACAGAATTTCTGTTGTCAGGAAAGTATTGTACAGATTTCTTGGCTAGCTTAGTGATCAAAGTGAATATATATGGAAAATATACAGGAGGATATTTGTGCTCAGCGAACACTGCTGACTGGATAGGTGAGTGCAGTGTGCTTTATCAGAGCTGTTCCCACTCAGGAAGGCAATGCCCTGAGAAGATTGCATCTCCCAGAGTCAGACTCCAGATGTAGAGCAGATTTCAAATGTAAAAGCTTCAAAAATCATCCTACCACCAACTATGCTTTATAGTTCTCATCTTCCTTTAAGGCTATGGGGAGAAAAAGAAAAAAAAAAGAAAAAAAAAAGAGGATGCTCTTGGGATGCAACCCATCTCTTTTGTATGTACACACCTACGAAAAATTAAGACAATTTAAAAATGACACATAGCTTGGCATGCCTGGTAGTGGACCTCTGCACTGCAGAAAATGGACAAGACAAATCCCACCCCAGGAAGTAACTGTGTTACTCGAGTACACTCAGCACACCCTGGGGATGCAGAAAGGACCCCATGCAGAGCCAGGAGTCCCCACATGCCTGCAGAGTGCTCCCTAGCTGATATGCAAGGGGTGCAGGATGAGAGCAGGGGTTCATAGCTAGCAAGTGTTTGACTTTGGCAAGTATGAGTCGAGCTTTCCCTAGAAAGCATTTCTAAAGGTTTAAGCTTTCATTTCTTGTATCCACAGACATGTGTACGTGATTTTCTTTTAGAGAAGAAAAATGTACATCTAACAGTTATGTAGTCAGATAAAGTTATACAATGAAATAAATGGGTACTATGGGCAACACAATTTTATAGAATGTTAAATGCATTGTCATTACTTGCAGCATGGATTGACAGCTATTTCTCTGACTTTACTATGGACTAACTTTAGGACGAGGCTATTTTTTATTCACTGCTTTATGTCTTTGATGCAACATTTGTATTTTTGCTGACACATAGATGTCCATGTCAATAAAAAATATGAAAATACAAACCAAATGTGTTTGCTTCTTTTCTTTTTTTTTTTCCATCCCATATATTTGATGCTATAAAATGTATTTAATAAAACTTCACATGAGTATAAGACATGTACTGTGAGATTCTTCTTTGGGCTGTAGCGTCAAACTGGTAAGAGGCTCAGACAATTCACATAAAATAAAAATTCTCCTCCTTTCTTTGTTTGTTGGAAGCACAACATCTTGGGAAATTATGACCTTAGAAGAAAACATCATTGTAGAACTTGATATAAAATTAAAATCCATGTGTCCAGTTACAGTTAAGATCATGATTTTTGACATGTAATCCAGAGGTGGGTAAGTCTCTTGCCAAACACAGCAGACCATAGAGCATATAGAAAGAGGGTAACACACTGTCAGTTGGATTTCTTGGCAATAACTATTAATTTATGGCAATTTAAAATGGATGATCATATTTATTTTACTTTCTTATGAATGATTGTAGCTTTACTATTGCACTTGGAATCTTGTATTTCTGATGTGCGTCCTTCTTCCCAGGAGGGGGCAGTCCATAGCCAGGATCAGTTGCTTTCCATTACACTTTTAATCCAAGGAATATAGTTGGAAACTCGAACATAAACACCAGGTTTCATGGGTTGGGCACAGCCAAGGCCCCAAGAGGTGACTCCATGTTGAACAAATTTATCTTGGTCCAGACAGACTAGAGGTCCTCCACTGTCCTCCTAAACAGAGAAAGAATAGGATGATTCCTTCAGTGACAGACCCATGTGCAAGGGTGGCCTTCTCACAGGAGGCACAGAAACAGAAGTACCTCTTACATGTGAGGGCCGCACAAGTTATAAGGAAACACTGGAGTTCTAGCCAGACACAAGTTCTCTATGCATGTTGTTGAACACTTCTGTAAAATCATCTCTTCACATCATCCAGGCATTACATCTATTTTTGGAGTAAGGGGATTTGCTGAAAAGGCATCTGATTGACCTTATTCACTTAAACTGCACCTCCTCTCTCCGTCTTTTTTTCTGAAATCTTCAGGGCTTCCTCTTGTTACCAAATGATCCAGTGGTACTGACACTCGGAAATTAGTAGTTCCTTTGGCTCATGTTTGGCCTGCATGGCAGGCTCCACTGCATTTTTCCTTTACTGCTAACTGAGATATCTCAGGTTGTTAACTGAGCTAGCTTGGACACTGGAGGCAGTCTAGTGAGGCAAGCAAAGTGATCTGAGAAAAAAAATCAGACCATTTGTCAATCCAAGTTGGCTCATATACACCTGGCTTGTGCAGCTGTATGTAACCATGTGCTCTGTAGTTCAGGCTTATCTGAAAATTGCCTGCCCCGCTTCCTGGCAGCAAACAAGGGAGAAAGGAAAGAGCAGCATCCATGTGCTTTTTTCAGCTTAGATGCCATGTTGCGTGGTCACATCCCAAGGATAATTTTGGGCCTGGCCTCTATAGCCCGGAAAGCAAAGCACTATTTTATTTGAATGTGCTTACAACTAAACCACAGAATCACAAAATATTCTCAGTTGAAAGGGACTCACAAGGATCATCGAGTCCAGTTCTTAAGTGAATGGCCCATACAGGGATCAAACCGCACAACCTTGGCACTATGAGCACCATGCTCCAACCAACTTGAGCTAGTCTCAGTGTCTCTGATGCTTACAGACTTTCTTACCTGACAGGTATCTGTGCCACCATGAATATTCCCAGCACAGAGCTCACTGTTTTTGACTCTACCATTCAAAAATTCAGGGCGGTTGCATATTTTATTCTCAATTACAGGAAATCCAGTTTCCTTTAAGTAACCAGTACCACCAGTTCCTTTGCAAATGAAAACAAAACCAAAAAAGAATGAATGACAAAGGCAATTATCATATTCACAAAACAAACATCAGGATATGGATAAGCAGTAAAATATCATAGTGTTTATGCACTGTGCATAGTACTTCCCATGCATAATATGAAGATATACCAAAAAGAGTAAGCATTATCGGTATTATGGTACTTATCACCCTCTACCACCCATCAACATCTACACTGCACTGATTGACCTTCCTGCTTTCACACTACATCCATGTGGATCCAGTACCCACTGAAATTTGTGGGAGTCATTCCCAAGCCATTTTATTTCTCTATATTTGAGTTTTCTGTGGAAGAGATGTGTTAGGAAGTAAACAGTTGAAAATGGCATGATGGGCAAGGAGGCAGAGAAGGTACTGATGCACTTCTCAACCAAGACACAGTGGGAGGTTTTGAAAATGAGAGTTGTATTTGTTTGAGATGTGAACCAGGCTGGCTGGGAGGAAAAAGCATTTAAGAGAATGAGCAAACTCACATTTATGTGATCAAGAAATAACCTAAATGTAGAAAAACTATCCTTGATAGGATAAAAGCCCACTTTGAGGAAAAGCATAGTGGACTGAGAGAGAAGACTTAGTGGTTCCTTAGGTCTCATACTCCTCTTTCAGTGTTGGTTTAGAGGGTTTCAATTTACTGAGTGGTTTAGGAGAATCCATATCAGCAGGAGAGAGTGGAAAGAATGGCAGTACCTAATGAATTTTGATGAAATAAGTTTTTCATCGATAGCTTGTGTGGGGCACAAAGAGAATACACTTTGAATTCAAGTATATACCAGTCTCCAAACACTGAGCTTTTAGATGTGTTAAGGCTATCTCACCTCTTGTATCCCCCCAGCCCGTGACATAGCACTCCTCTCTTCCTCCTAGCACAGTATTTTCTTTTGGTAAACAAACCGGGATTACATGATCATTAATGACTGCTGGGCTGTAAGAAACAGGAACAATCGTTAGCACAATTATACATGATACCACCTTCAGGTTTCTAAAAAGACTTGATATGCATTCAGCCACCTATCTTTGACATTCTTTGCTTCAGGTAAGGGTTTTTCCTGATGTGCAAAACTGTTTTTGTTTTAGGCTCAAATCCCTCAGAAAGCGATAAACACAAGGAAAAGGTCTGAAATTGAGAACAGTTAGAGTATTTTGATACTAAAAAGTACCTACATAAATCCAGGAGAGTGCTTTGACTTAGACTAATGCATAGCCAGCAAAACCTAATTGCAAAGCTATTAGAGAGGGTATGAATTAGTGGCATTTAACACATGCTAAATGGGTTAGCTTGCTCTACCTACATCCAGTCTGACTATAATTCACTTTCCAACGGGACATTTAGCACACAGCAAAACCTAAGTTCTTCTGACTTGCCTTTGAGTGGGTACAGCTAAGGCCCATTTACAAACCCACATTATTACGCTGAACCTTCATCTGTTTTGGACCTGCACTGCAGCCGCACAAGTCAAAGCCAAACCACCATATATTCACATCTGTTTGCTGCTCTATGGACATACTCCTTTTGATTGCACAGTTCCACAGAAAGCATTTCTGATGAGTGAAAAGAGATGCAAGAAGGGCCATACTGGGTATTGCATCAAATGTACACGCTCTTTGCCTGCACACTGTCCAGATCTGGTGGAAGAGGAAATCTCCCTACCACAGCACAGAAATGGCATGGAGTGCCTTCATGCTAATATTGCATGTTTCAATCCTCATTACCTTATCAAGAAGCATATAGAAACACTGAAAGCTCCTCTAGGCACTATCTCCTCCTTTTCTGCTGCCACTATCTCCCTCCCAGCAGCTGGCACCCAGCACATTGCCACCTTGGGTCAGTGTCCCTAAGCCCTCCTCCCCTAACAAGGCAGTCTTCTCGCTTTCTGAAGCCCTGGCGCTTCTGCAGAAAGGCAAGAAAGAGAGGATCTTAAATCACTAATTGAACAGAGTGTGCAGAAATGCCGCACATTACTGCAACAGCAGCAGAAACCACTTTTTAGTCAACTTGTCCCATCAGAACAAAGGAATGCTTAAGGTGAAAGGGTACCTGCTGAGTTTTAGCAGAGCAATGTCTGCCCTGCGTGGCTCCTTGAACAATTTCTCCACATCAAGTTTTTGTACTGATGGCTCTAACGCTGCTTCTTTGTGTAATCCAAGGTATACTCTATATGAAGATGGCCGTGAGGACCTATTGGAAATGATTGCACATGGTGAGCTGATGAACACACACCCAGAACATAAACGACTTATGATGTTACTTGGCACCTTGTTCTATCAAAGTCAGATAGCCAGCTTTGGTGTAAACTTAATCCCTTATTATGGCACATGAAATCAAGTTGGCAAAAGTTATCACTGTCACTCTGTTTTTCAGTCAAAACTCAGCTTTAATGAATGACAAATAGACTCAGCTCAATTAGAATCATAGAACTATAGAATCATAGAATCTGCTGAGTTGGAAGGAACTCATCAGGATTATTGAGTCCAACTCCTGGCCTATGCAAGACACCCCAAGAGTCACATTATGTGCCTGAGAGCATTGTCCAAATGCTTCTTGAACTTAGGCTTGGTCCTGTGAGCACTTCCCTGGGGAGCCTGTTCTAGTGCCCAACTACTGTCTGGGTGAAAAACCTTTTCCTGATGTCTAACCTAAACCATCTCTGATTCAGCTTTATGCTGTTTCCTCGAGTCCTGTTACTGGTAACAAAAGTGAAGAGATCAGTATTTGCCCTTCCACTTCCCCTTACGAGGAAGTTGCAGACTGCAGTGAGGTCTCCCCTCAGTCTCTTCTTCTCCAGGCTGAACAGACCAAGTGACCTCAGTCACTCCTCCTACGGCTTCCCCTCCAGATCCTTCATCATCCTTGTGGCCCTCCTCTGGATGCTTTCTAATAGTTTAATGGGGTTTTTTACATTGTGATGCCAAACAAAAATTGCACGCAGTTCTCAATTCTTAACTGTTTGCAGTACTGAATTCTTAACTGTTTGCAAGCTGTTTGCAACCAGCTCAGGTCGGGTATTTGGTCTCTTTTTTTATTCCTGTGATTTTCTATCTAGGATAAAAAGATGTTGGTGTGGGCCACAACAGATACTTACTTTTCTAAGCAGTGAGCAGCAGTAAGAACCCACTGAGGATCTATCAGAGTCCCCCCACAGAAATGCAAGCCATAACTGTAATAGAGCAAAAAGACATTGGTTTCAGATGGGAAAGTTAATTCTGCTTGTAATTAATCATGTAATCTTTCTAACATGTGAGCCTTTACAAACTAAAGACATTATTCCACAATTTCGATAAGGAACATTTTGCTTTCCTTGGACAATGTTTCTTATAATGATGGTAGTCTTCTGTGGACATTTTTATAAAGCCTTGTATGAAAACACCTAGATCTTTGCTCTTAACCACTATTCCTATTACTGGAAAACCTTGTGTGTAGCGAGGTTCACCATTTCAGAGATTCTGGCTTTTTCTAGCTCTAATCACAGTCAGAAAGCTCTCCAACTAGCCTTGATTCTTAGTTTTGTTAATAACTTTGCCAGTAGGATCGAATACTGACATGGAAGGACAGATCAAGATCTGTACTAGCCATACTTCAAACTGTTGCTTCTACTCGCAGGATACTGATTCTATTGTAGAATATAGTGGCAGTTTTAAAGTCATTCTGCCTTCTAGTAAAAATGTTTTTGAAATTAGCTCTTTTATTGATCTGATGGGTATTTGTCACAAAATAGAGCATTCTTGGTTGTCTAAATGACCTATCTAAGATTATGAAACATAATGTTTACCCTTGAGCTATTTTTAAACTAAAATCAACTTTATAATGCTGCAATCACAAACTATAATATCATATGAGAGGCAATGTTCTTTTGCATGCAAAGTCTAATGTAATGGGGAATGGTCATACCTCGTACGGAGACTAATCTGCCAGGGCCAGGAGTGTGGATGGGAAATACAACCAGCAACAATCCTTTGAGCACACAACTTTTGTCTGAACTTGGATTTTCCACATTCATACTGAGCAGGAGCTACAGAATAAGAAAAAAAATCACTATAAGGAAGTTTAATGTATATGCTATGCATTCACTGTGAACTCAAAAACCTAGAAGGTGAACATGCTACAGTTGTCACTTTGGCTTTTGATTCTCTTCAGGCAATTCTGTACCACGTACCACTGATATTTTGTCAGGTTACCTTCATCTGGAACACTTAAAAATGCCTGGTAACTACAGTTCCAGTAGTCAGTATATTACACATGAATAGTTCTACAATCAGATACAAAACCCCCCCCCAAAAACAGAAGGGGAAGGAGAAGGAAAAAGAGAGAAAGAAAAAAAAATTCTCTCAACATCTTTAAATGTATTCTTACAGATTCCAGCAGTATAGAAGTTGCACTGGCAGATGTTTTAAGCTAATCTTGGTGGTAGAGAATGTGAAATTCAACCCTGTCTCTTTGGAACAAAATTTTGTCCACTATTATCTCAGGATCATTTGGTCCTTCAGATGTCTCTGAGTTCTCAAAAAGGGTAGTTCATGTTTGGCCATGGAAAACTGACTCTTATCAACACAGAATTTAGAATTTGTTGTCAGCAAAAGGAACTAACTAATGAAATTAACGGTAAACACCATGTTTTTTCTGTTCTTTAGAGGAACATCTGAACAAAAAAAGTATTAATTTAAAAAAGAAGTGAATCGGCAAATGGAATTTTCCCCCCTAAGAGTCCCAGCCGAACACTTTCAATGCAGTACTATTTTTACAGCTACTCTGTGTGCATGACATAGAACATCTTTCTTTTTCTTATTTGCTCCATTTTGGGGTTTTGATCAGAGCACATTTTCTTCTGCTCACAGCTGAAAGGATAAAGCAGCAAGAAAGTCACCCTTCTTTTGAGTGGAAACTGCCCCTCTTCCTAGGATAGCTTTTGTTGTTGACAGACATGAAAGGAGTAGAAACCAAAATGTTGCAAAACCTTCTCATTTTACACTTTGTTGTACCACCTCATTCACATTACTAAATGACTTGATTACTACTAACAAAGACAAGGGCATCTGGTTAAATATTTAGGGCCAGATGCACTTTCCAGTCATCAGATATGGTACAGTATCAGAGAAGGGTCGATATGGTTTTCATCCAGAACAGAACCAGAGCCATGTGAGCATGGAGTGCAAAAATTTTGCTGGGATAAGACTATGCCTTGTTCAGCCTCGCCACACACAGAGTTGTGCCAGGTGACTAGGTAGGAGCAGGGAAAATTCCTGTTGGAATGACCCTATTTTGAAACACATGGCAAAACCCCATAAACTTCAGTGTGCCCTGGGTATATCTTGTGCTGCATTTTAGGCTTTCAGAGAACAAGCATCAATCTTAAAACTTCAGACGTAGACTTTGAACATCACTTCCCAAGAGCCTTATTTTCCAATCTAAAGCTATTGCACTTCAATCAGTCTTTCAGACTAATCACTGAATGTCCTCCAGTTGTCATAAAAGGTTACAGAAAAAGGATACACTAGTCTTTAAAGGAATAATTACGGCACTTAGGAATGTCACAGTACTCCCAGGCTTTTCTCGGGTCTGTTGTGTAGCACCAAGGTCCATTCACATCTCCATCAGGATTTCTGCAGTACTGTAACAAAGAACAAAAACACCAGCTATTAACCGTGCAATAAAAAAGCCTATCAATTAAAGTTCCAAAACAAAATTAATTTTTTCTTACTTCCTTTTAATTTTTCTGTTTGCTCTGTGACTTTAGGAAAAGATAATAAAAATGAAATTTCTTCAACTGTCTTCAGACAGTAAGCTTCAATAATGCAACCTTGGACCTCTGAGCTCTCAAAAAGTAGGAGATCTTGACCCCAGATGAG